GTGTGTGAATGAGAGTGTGGGGATGTTTCCCAAAGATGGGTTGCAGCTGGAAGGGCATCCGCTGCGTAAAACATATGCTGGAAAAGTTGGCGGTTCTTTCCGCTGTGGCGATTAATTAAGGGACTAAGCCGAAAAGAAAATGAATGAATGAATGACATAGTAACATTTACTTAACCCTGTTAGGCCTGACACATGTAAAAAAAAATAGGCAGAGAATGAAAATTTTGTAATTACTTGATTTGCAACAATTAGAAAATATTTAAATATTACAAGTAAATGAATATTAATGAATATTAATGAATAATTGAACATTAATATTTTTCTCTTTCCACTCCTTTCATTTATTAAATCAAGTAAATAATAAATATTTGACTTATGAAATTGTAGTTATCGTTAAAAATTAATATTAAAATTTAGAAATTTCTGTTGATTTATTAAACTTTACCACACCAAAACATGTTTAATACATTACGTATTAGTAAATAAATATTAATATTGAACTCTTTACACTCATTTCCTTTTATTATATCAAGTGAATGTGTAAATATTAAATATTTAACTTCGGAAATTGTTATCCTTGACCTTTAATATTCATTCATTCATTAATTTTCTTTTCGGCTTAGTCCCTCTATCAATCTGGGGTCGCCACAGCGGAATGAACCACCAACTTATCCAGCACGTTTTACGCAGCGGATGTCCTTCCAGCTGCAACCCATCTCTGTGTATGATCTTTAATATTATAATTTAAAAATAATGACAGTAAATTCATTACATTTTCATTCATTCATTCATTCATTTTCTTGCCCTTCCAGTACTGGGAAACACCCAAACACTCTCATTTTACACACATACACTACGGCTAATATAGTTCATCAGTTGCCCTATTGCACACGTGTTTGGACTGTGAGGCAAACCGGAGCACCCATAGGAAACCCACGCCAACATGGAGGGAACATGCAAACTCCACACAGAAACACCAACTGGCCCAGACGGGACTGGAACCAGCGACCTTCTTGCTTAGAAGCGATTGAGCTAGCCACTGCGCCACCGTGCTGCTGCTTGGAATTTAAGATTACAATTTAAAAATGATGATCGAAAGTTTATTAGATTTTACCAGAGCAAAAAAAAATTTTAAAAATGTACATATTAAATAGTTAAAATGTCCACATTTAATCGTTAAAAAGTGAATGAACATTAATATTTAACTCTTTCCACTTGTTTAAATTATTGCATCAAGTAAATGTGTAGATATTCAATATTTCACTTAGAAAATTTAGGAAACACTTTGGACTGTTAATATTACGATTTAGAAATTATGATAGTAAGTTAATTCGATTTTACCACATCAAACAAATGTTAAAAAAATGCACATATTACAAGTCAATGAATAATAATATTAGCTTTTTCCACTCGTTTTATTTATTACATTGAGTAAATGTGTAAATATTTCACTTTGGAAATGCTGGTTATCCTTGAATATTCAAATGTAAAAGCGATGGCAGCAAGTTTATTAGATTTTACCCCACCAAAAAGTCATGTTTCAGTGTAGGTGAACTGTTCCTTTATTACATGTGTGACTCTTGGCTTCATTAATTCTTTGTGTTTGACTTTAGTGATCCAGCTGAATGTGTAGCCTGTTGGCACCCCCTGCTGTCAGAATGAGTGATCCGCATGTTTTCAGTATAACGAGTGTGTGTGCGCTGTGCGTGTCTTAGAGCCCACCTGTGCTAAACACACTCCGCAGCAGATGGTGAAGCTCAACCAACAAGTCTGGTAAATCTGGCCTGTACACTGGAGTTAAACATTCACACTAAGTGTGTGTGTGTAGATGCTGCTTTACTGTAATTCTCCAGTGAACAGCGGTGTGTGTGTCTGTGTTTGACAGCCGCATCACGCTCACTCAGAGTTTATTACACTGGAGCAGATGGAGAAACACATGATCACGAAAGCACAGGTCATCGTTCAGCTCACTTCACAAGAAAAGAAACAGGAGATGAGATTTAGTGTTTGAACAGTGTGTTTATTATCTTCATGCACACTTTTTTCTTCTCATGGCAATAATCTATAATGCATTCAATACATCGTTGAATGAGTTCTTCATATTGCAGTTTTTACTTTTCACTTTTGACTATTTGGTCAAACTTTCACCCGACTACTTACTAAACTCACCGGCCACTTTATTAGGTACACCTGAATAGTCCCGGGTTGGACCCCCTTTTGCCTTCAGAACTGCCTTAATCCTTCATGGCAGAGATTCAACAAGGTACTGGAAATATTCCTCAGAGATTTTGCTCCATATTGACCTGATAGCATCACTGCAGATTTGTCGGCTGCACATCCATGATGCCAATCTCCTGTTCCACCACTATTGGATTGCTCTATTGGATTGAGATCTGGTGACTGTGGAGGCCATTTGAGTACAGTGAGCTCATTGTCATGTTTAAGAAACCAGTCTGAGATGATTTACGCTTTATGACATGGTGCTTTAGGCTGTGTAGGGTGTGGCGTTGACAGGTGCGTCTCGGGCCCCCTGACCAGGGTTTTTTTGGAGGTGGGGGGGGGGGGGTAGTGGTGAGTGGTCACGGATGAAAGTGAAGAGCGGGCGGGGTAGGTGATTGAGGACAAAAATGAAGTGCAGCAGTGTGGGGTAGGGGGTAATATTGAAAGTGAAGAGCAGGGTGGGGGCGGTTGGGGGATGATCGCTGATGAAAGTAAAGACCGGGATGGGTTGGGGATGGAGGGATGGTGGGTGGTTGGGGGTTGGTTGGGGGATGTATCGCGGAAGAAAGTGAAGACCAGGGGTGGGGGGGGGTGCTGGGGGTGTATCGCAAATGAAAGTGAAGACCGGGGGTGGGGGTGGTGAGTGGGGGGTTATGGGTGTATCGTGGATGAAAGCGAAGAGCATAGGGTTTGGGGGGGTTGGATTCACTGATAAGAGTGAAGAGTAGTGGTGTGGGGGTGACCGAGGATGAAAGTGAGGGGGGATGGGGGAGTCGCGGGCGCTTTATTTTGTCTCTGGGGGCCCCCTAAATGTATGTTGCCGCCTTGTGATTGGCTGATTAGAAATGTACAGTTGCAGATGGACTGATGTACCTAAAAAAGTGGCCAGTGAGTGTGTACGTTCAGAGAAGTGTATTAAGTGTTTGAAGCTGCTTGATCTTATTATATCTAGAAACACACACACACACACACACATATATATATATATATTTTTTTTAACCTTTATTTTACCAGGAAAACCTCTTGGGATGTCTCTTTTTATACAAGTAATATATAGGTAAATACTTTAGAGTATATCTGATTTGACGTCTCATCTGTGATTAATCTGTGCAACAAGATTTTAGTTGACCTTTTTTTGCAGTTTAATCTTGTGTATTTCGCAGTAGCAGCTCGTGTTTTGATGCTGAGCTGATTTTTGCTGTTGTCTTTTGAGATTTAATGAGTTTTTCTTGAATGCTCGGTCACCTGTGTCGATCTGCAGGCTCCTGTGGTTGTTTTTGTCTCCTCAGAGCTGAAGTAATGGCAGTGTCTGCGCGTCTCCTCTTCTGTGGTGGTGTTGTTGTTTGCGTGTCCTGCTGATGTGCAGATCTGCTTCAGCCGTCTCGTTTCTCCACTTTTCTCTCTGTTTGTCTGTCTCTCGCTGCTCTTTCGCTCTCCTGAAGGGAGAATTTGCAGGAGTTTTGAGCAGGTGATGCCGGTCTATGCATCAAGCACTTCAATCCGATTTACCAACATGAAGCCCCCATCTGTGAGCTCAGGCCTGGCGTGCACTGCAAACAAATGCTTTTCTTACTTTGATTTAGTTGAAGGAAGATCCTGACAATGCTGTAGATGTGGTTTGTGTTCATCTGTCTGTGTGTAATGTGTGTGTGTGTGTGTGTGTGTAGATGTGTGTTTCGCTCGATATATGTCAGGTAGGAAACCGGCAATGCACCATGCATGTTTGACTCACTGATTATTGGTTCCCTCGCGTGAAGAAAGAGCATTGTGGGACTTTCCATGAATTCTGTGTGGGGATTTTAACAGTACAGTAATTTGCTGAACAAGAATTTGTTAAACAAAAGAAGATGTTTTAAAGAATGTTGACAGTCAATAACAGTTAAAAAAGGGGAGGGGCTACTCTTAGTCCCACCCTCTCTTCATGTTTCAGTTGAGATTACATCAAACATTTAAAAAAAATGTAAAAATTAAACATTTTAAAGTACTTCCCGGGACCTTTAAAGGCACAAAAGAGAAATAAGGGCCTACTTACACTATGCCATCCGTACCGTGCCCAGGCCCGTTTCCCAGATCGTTTGAGAAGTGTGAGTGCGCTGAATCGGGCTCAAGCACGGTTCACTTGGCCGGCCCTGGCCCGGTTGGAAGAGGTGTGCCTGAGCCCGGTTCACTTGGGCTTTGGCGCGGTACGCTTGTGTGTGAGTACAAAACGCGCCAAAGCCCGAAACTGAAAGCGAGACGTGACTTTTAAGGCATTGTTTCATATGGATTTATTAATAATTCTTACTGTTCAGTCAACGCAAACTGCCGTAGTTTATTAAAGACGCAAACCCTTCACTGCATGACAGCTGCGCGCCTTCAGCAGACCTCCTCATTCCTGCAGCACGAGGGCTTTATGATTGTTTATGAGCGCCAAAAGTGGCGGATCTGTTCGGCGAAATATCTGACTGCGTGCCCCCGCATCTCTAAGGACTGTTTGGCGAAATATTTGACGTCATATCAAACGACTGAAACGATATAACTAGAGAAATCTCCACTGTGCTGCTGGGTGAGAGAGCGCTTCTCACAGAACAGCGCAGCAGCGATGATGTAAGCGTGCCGAAGCCCGTTTGTGGTGTGAGCGCGGGCCATCGGGGGAGATGGGAGGGGGGACAAGCGTGCTTTGGCCCGGTTCGAGGCAACTGTACCTAGTGTGAGTACGGCCTAAGTGTTGAGGATGTGTTTGTTTGCTTGTTTAGGGGTCATTTTTGAGCCATAGGTTAACCATTTGTCCATTACTATATCCACTTTTCTGTTGTTTGTCTGCAGGGTTTCTGTTTCTCCCCGGCGGGCTCATGCTCCAGGTTTAGGGTGGGGGGGCGTTCCCCCATTCTGCCATGAAAGCCTTCACCCCCCAGCGCACCCGTCACCTGTCCGACTGCGAGCCGCCTCGCTCTCCCGCTCACCTGGGCTCTGTGTACCCGCCATCCCACACGCCATACCTCTTACCGTCAGCAATGGATCATTACGGAGCGCTTGACCCTCACCATTTCTCCCCGGCCCCGGGACCCGGAGGCCTGCCGCCCGACTGCTTGATGCCCCTCAACAACCAGCTGTCCTCTAGCAGCACCTTCCCCAGGATCCACTACAACTCACACTTTGACCAGGGTGAGTTCGGGCCCTCGGGAGCCGACAGCATCGGAGGAATCAGCACTGGCACCATGGGCACCTCTATGTCCATGGGAATGGGTCTCGGAGTGGGACGGACCGCCATGATCACCAGCGGATCCGCAACTATATCTGGTTAAGTATTTCATGCTGAATAATGTTCAATTGAATTGAATTCAAGTATACTTGCATACCTCTTTTTTACAATAGCAATATTTAAAACTGAACAATATTACATTACGGTGACATGGTTGCTCAGTGGTTAGCACTGTGGCTTCACAAGAAGAAGGTCGCTGATTGAGTCCCGGCTGGGTCAGTTGGCGTTTCTGTGTGGAGTTTGCATGTTCTCCCTGTGTTGGTGTGGGTTTCCACTGTGACTTTAATTGACATTTTAATAGTCTGCAGTGCTATATTATCTGGGTTTGTGTTGTATATTACACTGCAATAACTTTATAATAAACCTACCGCACACTTTGTGTTATTTAGCAGACTTATTTCTCTATATATTGTTTATTTATTATACGTTACATTATCTCAAACTACTAAAATGCCAATTAAAGTCACTTTGTTAAACTGTAGAGTTGAATTATCAACATCAAAAGTGGACAAAGCAGAGATCAACATCCCATATTGCAATTCACAACTGTAAATAAACACTTCCCTACTGAACAAACCAGCTTAAACGAGCCTAGGCTAGGTGGCTGGTTATAGCTGGTCAACCAGGCTTGTTTTAGAGGGGTTTTGGCTAGAGGTCTGCATTCCCACAGTACAGCCGCGGGACCCGACCACATTTCTGCAGTGCGGGAATAAATTTCCGAATAAAGTGCGGGAGCGGTCAGTAACTGGTTTAATTTTGGATGGGAGTGGGCGGTTCAACAATATCGCTCCCAGCTCCTCACTCCCGAGCGAGCGAGCGCGCACGCGCATGTATATGTGTGAAAGAGACAGCATGATGCTGCATTTAGCTTGTTTGTTGTTTGGTGGTTTCCAGTTTTGTCCCAACCCCCCCCCCTCCGTTAGCGAGAATGGGCGCGGCAAGTAGAAAACGGGGTGGGGCGGGCAGAGGGACAACAAATGCTGAATATAAGCGGGAGCGGTCGAGTTCGGGCTAAAACCTGGCGGGTGCGGGCGGGACCGGGATTCAAAATTTAGTCTCGCTTAAATCTCTAGTTTTGGCCACTTCCAGGCTGGTTTCCAGCCATCTCCCAGCCTGATCTTAGCTGGTCAGGCTGGGAGATGAAAAACCAGCTATGTCCAGCTTAAACCAGGCTGGTCAAGCTGGTTTTAGCTGGTCATTTTCTGCCTGAGCAACTAAGACCAGCCTGGAAATGGCCAAAACCCCTGTAAAACCAGTCTGGTTGACCAGCTAAAACCAGCCAACCAGCCTATGCTGGTTTAAGCTGTTTTTTTTCAGCAGGGTTGTGAATCCCCAAATACAGCAACTGGTAATTAACTGATATCACAGTGGTTGATATAGCAAGTTTTAACAATTTACTGCTCTTTTGGCATTTATAGGGGCAGGAAAGATGAACCGGTTGCCACCGAATCTCCTGGACCAGTTTGAGAAGCAGTTGCCAGGCCAGCAGGACGGATTCAGCACGTTACAGTTTCACCGCAGCACCGCAGTCACAACGACGAAACAGCAGCAACAACAGCGCACAGACAGCCCGGGGAAAATCCGCTACTTAGTTCACTCCGTCCAGAAACTTTTTGCTAAATCCCAGTCTCTTGAAAACTCCGCCATCAAAGCAAACATGAACGGTCGCAACAGCAGATCATCAAGCAGCGATGACAAACATCACAGGAGCAAAAGCAAAGATCGAGCGAAGAGCGAAGGAACGGCCAAGAGAAGGCCCAGATCTAATATGTCTGGATACTGGAGTTCTGACGACTTAGATAGTGATGTAAGTAACTATAGAAACCCCATGGCCATGATGACTTTAGGTCGGCAAGGTGTGGGATCTGGACCAGGTCCGGATAGTCAGGTGGCGTCTAGATATTACATGCAGGGCTACAGCACTATTAGCGAGCACACGTTGAAATCCTCAAAGAGTAACAGTGACCTGAAGCACCAGCCGCTCCCTGCACTCCCGGCTCCTGGAGGAATCGGAGGAGGGAGAGCGCAGATGTTCGATGGGAACTTTAGTAAAGCGGGACCCTGGTCCACGCTTACTTTAGGACCCACTAGACAAGTGTGCCAGAAGGGGTCGGCCACGCTGGATCGCACCCTGCTGAAGTCTAAATCCGTCCAGCAGGATCTGGGCTGCCACTTTCTGCAGGTGCGAGGAAGGGTGAGTAAAATCCAGTGTAGTTAACATATATTTTGTTTACATTGCACTGAAAGGCACGCGGGCGAAGCTGTGGCGCAGTAGATCGGCGCAGCAAAAGGGTTGCTGGGTCACTGGTTCGAGCCTCGGCTCAGTTGGTGTTCTGTGTGGAGTTTGCATGTTCTCCCTGCGTTCGCGTAGGTTTCCTCCGGGTGCTCCGGTTTCCCCCACAGTCCAAACACATGCGGTACAGGTAAATTGGCTAGGCTAAATTGTCTGAAGGGTAGGAGTGTGTGTGTGAATGTGTGTGTGGATGTTTCCCAGAGATGGGTTGTGGCTGGAAGGGCATCCGCTGCATAAAAACTTGCTGGATAAGTTGGCGGTTCATTCCGCTGTGGTGACCACGGATTAATAAAGGGACTAAGCCGACAAGAAAATGAATGAATGAATGAATGAATGAATGAATGAATGAATGAATGAAAGGCACGCACAACTCTCACCGTCAGATGTTTTCTACTGCGTACGCTCGGACAGAGGTAAGCGCGTTGCTCCGATTGTGTGCGCATATTGTCATTCTTACATTAGAAATAACAAACTTGCAAGCGGAAAAGACGTGATATGGGAACGGCCGCTGCTATGGTTAATCCAGTGTGCGTGTGTATTAGCCTCAGTGTACATACTTGCAACTTTAAACTAGCGCACAGTTGGCAACTTGATAACTTTTCCGTGCAACAGAAATGCGGCTTAGAGAAGCCTTTACGAATAATTAACTGTGACGAATTAAAGCGCAGGGAATAATGAAATCAGCTAATCGTTGCATCTCTATTAATGATTACAGTGCATTGTACAAAAGGCATTTTCTACAAAACATATAAAAATGTTTTCGGCTGTCGCTTATGGTGACTCGCGCTCTGCGCAGCCTCTGCAGCTCATACTGAATTGAACAGACGCACGTCACTTCCCACATAGCAAAATTTCTCTGGCCCAGCTCTGGCCCACACAATCAGGTTTTGCTTGGCCCACATGCCGCAGTGAATTACGGTACATGACTGGACCAAATCTGGCTTCCAGACAAGAACCAAACACGGACCATATCTGGGCCAAGTCTCAGCCAAGTTAATAACTCATAACTGGGCCTGAACTGGGCCAGATAGGTTGGTGTGTCACGATTGCAATGAAATTGATAAACCCATGGAGTGATGCTCTTTAGGCACACTATGGGCACGCTTTTTCTCAAAGTGACCTGATTGGTAGAATTTTTTTTTCTTTACTCAAAAATGATTTTAGTGTATTTTAAATGTGGGTCAAGACTGGCCAAACTCACATGGCCCACTTATCAAATTTTTAAATCTGGGCCAAATACTACGTTTTTCATCTGGCCCAAATCTTGTGTGCCGCCTTAAAGACGGTGCCACCTCTGCCAAACCCGGGCCATGTTTGGCCCACATGCTGTATGCCAGTGCCGGATGAATGCCTGCTGTGCCAGCTTTATGCCAAATCTGGGCCAGAATTCTTTCCTACTAGGGTTCATAGCTATAGCGGCCGTTTTTCGACTGTACTAAATTTATTTTTATGTCTTGGTCACACTATTTGGAGGGCCAGAACAAATTTTCTCAGGGCAATAGCCCTGTTATAGACCATTTAGCCTCTCGACAGCCTTTTTAAATGCTCACACTAAATGTAGGATCAAATACAGCTAACTTTTGATCAAATCCAGCCAGAGTAGTAATTCAGAAATGAGGCCTCGTGACTGATTTTCATGCATTCACAAAGTTTGTCTGTTGGTGTTTGCTCAGATGCCGTCCACCGGTGAGTGGTCAGGGACTCTGGGCAGAAGTGGTCCAATGGGTGAGATCCCCTGTAGACGGATGCGGAGCGGAAGTTATGTGAAGGCCATGGCAGACCTGGAGGATAGTGAAGATTCTGACGGGAGTCCCAAACCCTCACCCAAAAGCGCAGCGCGGAGGCAGAGCTACCTACGCGCAACACAGCAATCACTAAGTGACCAGTTCCCCTCAAGAAAGTAAGTTTGTATTTGAGTATATTTTCCCAGCAAAGCAATCAAAGAAATGCTAAATTTGGAGCACGGTTTACAAAACCTCGCCACGTAATCGATCATTTTAGTCTCAAAAAATCCTGGAGGGACTGTATACAGCGCAAACGTTAATGCTGTATGTCACTGTAATTCATTTCTGCGCAGAAGGCTGGTGATATATTAGGATACAAACACAGAAACACTCAGCGGTGGTCTGTCAGGATGCCAGAGCCCCCATCTGAGGCGTGAGCTGTGTTATTTCATGGCGTCTGAATTGGGGATGGAGTTTAACTGTGTTGATTTCTCTCTCATGCATGCATCAGAATCCAGCTGTGCCTGTTCATGTGCTAGATTAAGCACAGCTAGTGTCTCTTCTCTCCATATGCCGCGATGCTCACTGAATTTCTGCTGTTCACATGGAAACACGGCACATCTTTTTCTTTGGTGTTTTACAGTGAAGTCTGCACTGGCACTGTCAGGCTATTATGATTTTTTTCTCACAGGTATCTGGGACATTTTACTGGATATGTGTTGATTGCAAAAAGGTGCATGAGTTTGACTATCCAACATCTAATTTGAGTCCTTTGTTAAACATGTTTCCAAATACAATGGGTATCTGATATCTCCAAGAAGTCTTTACCTCATATAATGTAAGCCTCGTATAATACAGAACAACAGTTTCATATAAATTGCAATGTTGTTTATGTTGTGCTGCCTTTCATTTATACTTATTTTGGTTATATATATATATATATATGTATGTATGTATGTATATATATATATATATATATATATATATATATATATATATATACACACACAAATGTGTTTCTGTTTTGCTTAATAGCAGAATAACGAGAGATTTTTTGGAGAAATTGTTATAACTTTTCTTGAAATTCAAGTTTACACACAATAAGATTATTCTGCCTCTGATAAAGCTCAGATGATGGTGTCAAGGCTTTGGAAGTTTCTTATTGGCTAATTGACCACATTTGAGTTAATTGGACGCACAGCTGTTGAATAATATTTAAGGAAAACCTCAAACACACTGCTTCCTTGTGTGACAACATGGGAAAATCAACAAGCCAGAATCAACAAAAAAGCCAGATTACAATTTGCTAAATTACACTGGGAAAAAGACTGATGTTTGGAGACATGTCCTGTGCTCTGATGGAGCTAAGATTGAACTGTTTGGCCATAATGACCAGTGTTACATTTGACAAAGGGGAAAGCTTACAAGCCTAGGAACACCATCCCAACTGTGAAGTATGGGGGTGGCAGAATCATGTTGTGGGGCTGTTTTGCTGCAGGAGGGACTGCTCCACTTCACAGCATAGATTGCATCATGATGAAAGAACATTATGTTGAAATACTGAAGCAAAATCTCAAGACATCAGCCAGGAAAATAAAACTTGGCCACAAATGGGTCTTTCAAACAGACCATGACCCGAAGCATACTGCCAAACTAGTTCAAATGTGCTTTAAAGACAACAGAGTAATTGTTTTGGAGTGGCCATCACAAAGCCCTGATCTCAATCCTATAGAAAATGTGTGGGCAGAGTTGAAAAAGCTTGTGCGAGCGAGACAGCCTACAAATCTGACTCAGTTACACCAATTCTGTCAGGAGGAATGAGCCAAAATTCCTGCAAACTATTGTGAGAAGCTTGTTGAAGGAGACCCAAAACATTTGACCATAGATATACAGTTTAAAAGCAAAGCTAAAGAATACCAAGGAAATGTGTGTAAACGTTTAACTGTCTAGAAATTAATCAAAAATTTCTCAAAAAGAAATTCTCTCATTATTCTGGCATTTAGCAAATTTAAATGATTTAGGTAATCCTAACGGACCTAAAATAGTAAACATTTAGTATGATTAACCATCAGACATTTTTTTAAATGTTTTTTTAGAGTGTATTTAAAGTTGTATATAATATTATATTATATATATATATATATATATATATATATATATATATATATATATATATATATATATATATATATATATATATATATATATATATACACATGATTCAATAATGGTTAATTACATTTTGTGTCAAAAATATCTTTGCCAGGATAATGCTACACCATAAAAATAGAAGTTATTTTATATGTAGCTTTAAAACTACATAAGCCTAGTTCAGTTCCTCCCTTTGTGTGCAGGATTAGCCCCTCCCTCTCAGTGTATGTAAGCCCCTCCCTCTCAGTGTACATAAACCCCTCTCTCTATGTAGTGTAAGCCCCTCCCCTATGTACTTAAATTCCTCACTCTAGGTATTGTAAGCCCCTCCTCTATGTCTATAAGTTCCTTATCCTGTGTAGACGCTCCCTCCCCCACTGTGCATGTAAGCCCCTCACTCTATATAGTTTTAGCCCCTCTCCTGTGTCAAAAGTCCTTTCCCTGTGTGTATAAGCTCCTCCCCTTGAGTAAGTCAGCCCCTCCCTCTGTGTAGTGTAAGCTACTATCAATATATAAGCCCCTCCATTTGTGTAGTGTAAGCCCCTCCCCTGTGTACAAGTTACTTACCGTGTGTTTAAGCTCCTCCTTCTATGTAGTGTTAGACCCTCCCTTGTGTCAAAATTCCTCCCTCTGTGTATAGCTCCTCCCTTGGTGTAGTGTAAGCCTCTCCTCCGTGTATATAAGCTCCTCCTTTAATGTAGTGTAAGCCCCTCCCCTCTGTATAGAGCTCCTCCCTTTGTGTAGTATAAGCCTCTACCCTGCGTATTTAAGCTCCTCCCTCTATGTAGTGTAAGCCCCTCACATGTGTATATTAGCTCCTTACCCTGTGTATAAGCTCCTCCCTCTATGTAGTGTAAGCCCCTCCTCTGTGCATATAAGCTCCTTACCCTGTGTTTAAAGTACTCCCTCTGTGTATGAAAGCTCCTCCTCTGTCTGCATAAGCTCCTCCTCCTGTGTGTATATGCTCCTCCCTCTTTGTATGTAAGAGAGTGACACACCCCGCTCTTTATTAAAATATAAGCTCCTCCTGTGCATAAGCTCATCCCTCTCTCACGCTGTGCCCCGCCTCTCAGCCGTCTGCTGGATTACTCCATGCTGCAGGGGGATCTGGAGGCTCTCTGGTCTCCCCTCCACAGCATCAGCACCCTGCAGCAGATCGGACGCTCGGTCAGGTCAGTGCAGTGAGGAGAGCCTGCAGATTTATCCTCACTGACCGCTCGCTCGCTCGAACAGACGGAGACATGGCAACAACACTGCTTGATTAAGATCCTCTCAGATTAGGAGTGCTGACTGAAAACTGCTGCATTGATTAATTGGCGTGTTCGGCTTCTCCTACTCTGAGATGTTCAGTCTTTGACTCTGAGGAGGTTTTCTAGATGAAGTCTAGCTTTGATATGATCTTATGTTTGGTCAATTTGGAAGACAGAAAGCCTCTTCAGAGTTTGTGAGCTCTGCTGATTCTCACCCAAACCGCTTCAATGGTTCTGAATGGTGATGAATGGGAACTGGACTTGAGAGTGTTGACCTGTTTGAAGGAGTTATGTTTTTAGGAACTGATTTAGAGCTGCAGTTTTTAGATCTCAGATCAGTAAAAACACCATTATAGATGGATGGATGGATGATCATTTTGTAAACAAAACTAGAAAAATGTTACATTTCATAATAAAAGTTTCTTTAGCAGTTTTTGTTATGGCTTCACCATTTCCATTTGCTTTTTGTGTGGTAGATCAGAGGTTTTCAATCTCTATTTTACATCTATTTAAATAAATAAACAATATTTTTATTTCAACAATAACATATTCAAATTAAAATTTCATTTAAAACACTTAAATTAAAAAATTAAAAATCACTCAATATAAGACACCATAAAATAAGAGTTAATGGCCATGGCATCATTATTATTTTTATTTTAGTGTTTTGAATTAAATTTTGAATTATAATATGTTATTATTGAAATAAAAATATTATTTGTTTATTTATTTTAGTGCATAATATTTCTCTTTTTCTTTTTTAGTTTTGTATTTATTTATTTTTTTATTGTTAAAATATAAATATTATTTATTTATTTTTATTTATTTGTTTGTTTGTTTTGTTTTATAATTATGATTTACTTTTTCCACACTTTATTTAGTCATTTATTTATTTAAGTGCATAATATTTTATGTTTTACTTTTTTACAGTTTTGTATTTATTTTTTATTAAAATATAGATATTTATTCATTCATTCATTTGTTTGTTTGTTTCATTACATAGTTATTTGTGATTTACTTTTTCCACAGTTTATTTAGTTATTTTAGTGCATAATATTTTTTCTTTTTTTCCTGTTTTTGAATTAAGTTTATTATTAAATTTAAATATTATTTAATTATTTGTTTGTTTATTAATTAATTTGGATTTATAATTGTTTATGATTTCCTTTTTCACAGTTTATTCATTTATTTATATTTGTGCATAATATTTACTGTTTTATTTTTTCTCAGTTTTTGAATAAATTTTATTATTAAATTATAAATATTAGATTTTTTATTTATTCAATCATTTATTGTACTACAAATTATTTCTGTTTTACTTTTTATCAGATTATTTAGTTATTTTTTTATTTAGTACATAATGCTTTCTGTTTTACTTTTTCACCGTTTATTTATTTATTTATTATTATTATTTTTATTTATTTTGTTTTATAATTATTTATAATTTACTTTTTCCACAGTTTATATATAGCTATTTATGTATTTTAGTACTTAATATTTTCTCTTTTATTTTTTCACAGTTTTGTATTTGTTTATTTTTATTAATAATATATAATTATTTATTTATTAAATTAATTAATTAATTTTTATTTTAGTGCATAATATTTTTTTTCAGTTTTTGTATAATTTGTTTTTCTAAAATTATTTATTATTTTTTTTTCTTTTTTCACAGTTCTTGCACATTTATTTAATTATATATATATATATATATATATATATATATATATATATATATATATATATATATATATATATATTTTTTTTTTTTTTTTTTTTTTTTTTTTTTTTTATGTATCATTTTTTTAAATCATTATTTTTCTCTAAATATTTCAGGGCTCTTGTGGCCCCAGTTTGAAAACCCCTGAGGTAGACTATAGAGCACAGGAGCTGCATGTGACCTCTGACCTCATGACTTCATCTCCTGCTTTTTCTTTTTCTCTCATCTTCTCTTGACTCCCGTCCCGCTCTTGTCCTCAGCTGTCTTCCGTCTCTGCGAGAGTTTTCTGGGAACCGCAGTCTGGATAATCTGGACTGCATTGGAGGAGGATCTCCATTCCCCAACTGGGATGATGATGACTTCAGTCAGGGCTGCAGTACACTGGGCCGAGGCAGCTGCATCAGTCAGGTAAATATCCACACACACACACACACACACACACACACATGCACACATTCACTTTCACACACACAATCAGGTAAAAACACACCCACACACATAGGCACTAACATGCAATATCAGGTACACACACATACACACACACATACACAGGTACACACACATACATCCACAAACACATGCACACACAAAAACACACACACACTAACATACACAATCAGGTACACACATACACACTCAGGTACACAAACACACGCACACACACACACTCAAACACACCATCAAATGCACACAAACTCATGCACACACACACACACCCTCAGGTACACATATATACAAACACACATACACACAAACACACACAGGTGCACACACGCACTTACAATCAGATACACGCGCACACACATAAAGACAGGTACACACGCACACAAACACATGCACACACATATGCACACTTAGGTAAACACACACACACACACACAGGTAAACACACATTCAAACATACAATCAGGTACATACAGATGCACACACACACACATACACACAAACACACACACAGAGATACATATACACACAAAAACACAAGTACACACACACACTAACACACACAATCAGGTACACACAAACATGCGCACACAAACACACGCCCCCACACAATCAGGTTCACACGCTCAGACAAACACACACAGACGCATCCACACACACAATCAAGTACACACACACAAATACACACACTATAAGACATACACACAGGTATACACAAACACTTACACACACACCCTAATCACGTACCCACACAGACAAACACACACACATACACTAAAACATACTTGCATACACAATCAGGCACACAAACAGATATGCACACAAACACACACACACACAAACACATGCACACACATACACACTCTAACACTCACTCACACTCAGGCACACACAATCAAATACAAATGATTCATATTTATACAGTTTGGCGCCACCTGTTGATCTTGCCTGCACATTTCTATTGACTGCACTAAAATACATATTAATATTAGAACTGATTAAATCATTGCATGACGCTCTGTTACACAATGACTGTTCTACTCATTGCAGTTCTGTATGTTAGGGTATTTGTTTCTTTAAAATCAACAGACACACACACACACACACACACAATCACACCGACACAAACAGACCTGTGTTTGTGTGATCAGATGCGAGACATGGAGATGAGCCAGCATTATGCAGATGAGCTGGAAGACATCCATCCTCACCCCCGATGCTCGGATCCGCCTGACGTCCCCATGCCAACATGCTTCCGCTCCCGTAGCCATAGTTACCTTCGTGCCATCCAAGCAGGATGTTCCCAAGACGACGACACAGCGTCAATGGACTCTGATTCACCGCCTCCCACAACCACAACAACCGTCCGCACCTACAGCAACAGCACCGGTGAGTGACCAAACACACACACACACACACACACACATACAAAACTATGAGTATGGTACAACTCTCCCTACTCTCCGGCTGTTTCTAAATACCAAGTACGCAAAGTTCGGACTTGCGTCCTTGGAAGTTCAGACCTGCCAAGTTCAGACTTGGAAGAACGAACTCCCGAGGACGCGAGGACACAAGTCGGGTGCTCCTTCAAATGGAACAGCTGTGTACTCCGTAACGTCACTTACCTCACCATGGATTCATCAATTTCACTGTACATTACCAATAAAATTATTTAATTAATATTATATTAATATTATAAATCTACATTTTTGATTTAAGAAAATGTACACATATATTCATATAAATGTGAATTAAAATGAGTTATTATACACAGACACATGTCTTTGATTATCAGATTTAATAAACTACAATGGTAGTTAAACACACAATAAGAAATAAAGATTACGTCAAGCAATTTGGTAAACAAAGACAAACAGCGTACAACACGGTAACATAATTAAAGACAATTATAAAAGGTAACAAAATAACACTGCCAAAATAATATAGCTGAGAATAAATAATAGATTTATAAGACCAAAAACTGTCCGTTAGATATTCCCAAGATGTATTAAATATCATGTTTTAACTACAATGGAGAGATGAGATCCAGCGGTACGTCCGAGATGGCCTGGCTGAAGTAAGCTGCTCTGGCAGGGGAGGTGATGACGGAGCTCCAGCTGGCAGGCTGGGAGTCGGAGTCCGCATAAGCTGAGCCACATCGTTAAAGAAGCGCTATCTTTGGGAATAAACTGCCGATTCGAGTTTAAAACAACGACATTCTCGCCTGAAAAACTCTTAAAACTTTATTTTGTGACACAGTAAAGGAGTATTTTTAAAACCGTGCTGGTTTCCTCCTCCGCCATTAGCACTTGCTGGTTACACTGCAATGCATTCTGGCATAAACACATCCAATCTAGCAACAACCTTTATTCTATTTAGGCACGAAAACACTTTGAAATAAATATGAAAATGGCGGGATTCCCTTTTTCTACCATCCGAATGTGTGAGCAGAAATGGAGACTCATCAGAGCAGCAACGTTTCTCCAATCTTCTATTGTCCAGTTTTGGTGAGTCTGTGTGAATTGTAGCCTCAGTTTCCTGTTCTTAGCTGACAGGAGCGGCACCCGGTGTGGTCTTCTGCTGCTGTAGCCCATCCGCCTCAAGGTTGGACGTGTTCAGAGATGCTCTTCTGCAGACCTCGATTATAACGAGTGCTTATTTGAGTTACTGTTGCCTTTCTATCATCTGGAACCAGTCTGGCCATTCTCCTCTGTCCTCTAGCATCAACAAGCCATTTGAAATCCCCTTTCTTCCCCATTCTGATGCTCGGTTTGAACTGCAGCAGATCGTCTTGACCATGTCTACATGCCTAAATGCATTGAGTTGCTGCCATGTGATTGGCTGATTAGAAATTAGTGTCAACAAGCAGTTGGACAGGTGTACCTAATAAAGTGGCCGGTAAGTGTATATACCCAACTCTATATTCACAGTGCACTAAAAACAACTATTAAACATTTACACTGCTGTTTTTTTATTTTATTTTAAATATATATTAACAAAAATCAAAAAGATTCATGAGAGAGAGAGCGAGAGAGAGAGAGAGAGAGAGAGAGAGAGAGAGAGAGAGAGAGAGAGACCCGCCCTCCATTTCATTCACTACTATCACTAAAAGGAGGCGGGCCCTAGTATTTGCGTCACACATTTAAACGAGCGGGTCCCTCGGTCTGGCATCCAATCGCCTTCGTGCGAAACAGTGACTGACAGCTCGTGTGTCCAATGGTGGTCTCCAGTGCGTTGTTTCCTTCAACAATACTCCGCTGCATGTCACGAAGGCGTTTCCACACGGTTCCTTTCTTTCCGCGACGTGGACTCTCTTATGATGATGGTGATGAAACAGCGATAATGTAAATCTCTCTGAATGAAAAAACCGCAACGAGTTGAGAAACATTTCCAGCGCGAGAGCAGGTAAGAAACACACTTCTGTTAATGTTATGAGCGTTAACAATAATAACGCGCGTTAATCATAAACACTCATGCATTTGCTTTAGATATTTAGAGTTATTCTGTAAGGATTCAACATATTGTACATGTTTTTAAATGATATACGATGTCCAGCCCTTGTATTGTTGATTAGGATGCTAATACATGGTTATTATTAGCCGAATAACGCGTAATATTACTTTCCAATGGTTTATTACGTTACTTATTTATGTATGTGTTGTTATACTTACTGATAATTGTTCTGTGTACATTGTTGGAAGTTCTCCTTGTTATTGACACACAATCAAACACACATTATTGAGCTGAATAACGCGTAATATTACGTTCTAATGGTTTATTACGTTACTTATTTATGTATGTGTTGTTATACAGACTGATAATATTTTGATGCACATTAATAAAAGTGCTCTTTGTTATTGACACACATTTATGCTCATATTATTGAGCTGAATAACGAGTATTATTACTTTCTGATAGTATCTGACGTTAGTTATATATTTTTGTGTTGTTATGCTGACTGATAATTGTTGTATGTACGTTGTTGAAAGGGATTTTTGTTATTGACACACATATATACACATGTTATTGGGCTGAATAACATGCAATATTAGTTTCTAATGCTTTATGACGTTTCCATTTTATTTCTGTGTTGTTATACTGACTGATAATATTATTATGTACAGTGTTAATAGTGCTTTTTGTTATTGACACACATTTAAACAGAAATAATTGAACTGAATAACGAGTAATATTACTTTCTAATGGTTTACGATGTTATTTATTTATTTATATGTTGTTATACAGATTTATAATATTTTTATGCACATTATTAAAAGTGCTCTTTGTTATTGACACACATTTATACACATATTATTGAGCTGAATAACACATAATATTACTTTGTATTGTTTTTTGACGTTACTTATTTATTTTTTTGTTGTTATACTGACTGGTCATTTGTTCATGTATGTTGTTGGAAGTGCTCTTTGTTATTAACACACATTTATACACATATTATTGAGTTGAATAACGCGTAATATTACTTTTAAACGGTTATGACGTTACTTATTTATTTATATGTTGTTATACAGATTGATAATATTTTTATGTACATTATTCAAAGTGCTCTTTGTTATTGAAACACATTTATACACATATTATTGAGTTGAATAACGCGTAATATTACTTTGTAATGGTTAATGACGTTACTTATTTATTTCTGTGTTGTTATACAGACTGATAAATCTTTATGTACGTTGTTGGAAGTGCTCTTTGTTATTGACACACGTTTATACACATATTATTGACTCACACACACACACCCAACACATGCATGTTTTCCCATAACAGTTGTCATGAGTTTCCAATGGGAATTAGCGAGTAATGTGAATTAGAGAGCTGGTGATTTGTGTGGAGCAGTTAAACTTGTCAGACAGGAGCATTCGCTGTGTTCATCATTACACTAAAGGTTTTACATTACACACGTGGCTTTAGTTAAAGGTGTCTCTTTGCATTTAATTGCTGTGTATCGCTCTGAAATTCATCTAAGGGCCAAAGCAGCTCTGATAACAGGCTTTGGTGGAAGTTACAGCTTTTGTATTGTAGATACAGTATGATCGAGTGACTTTTGTGCTGCTGCTTGTTTACTACTTATTTACAATAAGCTAAAACAACTCAATTATTGAGATTTTGGGGGGGACGACTTAAATGTTTTATTTTCAGTCTACTTAAATTTGTCACAGCAAATTCGCTTAACATCGACTTAAAATCGCTTTGTGTTGGGGCAACATGAATGAATTGTGTGGAGCCCTGCAACTTTTTAATATATTAATATATGTATTTTTTCAGGACACTTTAGTTTAAGTAACAATTCTCACTATAAACTAGTGCCTATTATTAAAATATGGATGTTTATTAGTATTTATAAACTGCATATTCTGCTTGATCTTATTCTGCATCTCTAATCTAATACCTAAACATAACTACTAACATTGTAAGTTCATTCCACTATGGTGACCTTGATAAATAAGAGACTAAGCTGGAGGAAAATAAATACATTACAAACATAATAACTATTAATAACCAACAAATTATGCATTTATTGAGGTAAAATTCATAGTTAATGGTTTATTAATAGCAATAATTTTGCGTTAAATTAAAATGTGACCTGTTTATCATTGAGCATCTTTTATGAGGCTGCTGTCTCTTGATGTCTGGCTATTGTATAATGTTTTGTATTTCGCTTCCGCAAATGCTGTGTTAAGCCACAAAAGACTTTTAGAGTGAGTTTTGTCAGTGCATTGGGTTGGATAAATAATCGGCCAACTCCCAGGATGTTTGTGCGGAAACAATGAAACAATGCATAGTGGCTTTTTCACAATGCATAGAGATTCATTCACCCGCATATATCATGGAGCCAACCAAGTGACTTTATACTTCAGTAGATCTTTAAAGAGCTTTTTTAACTGAAACTATAGTCATTGGGGATTCATAAAATGCAAGACAATAGAGACCTGCATTTTATAGAGTCAAAACCACATGGGCAAAACAAAATTAATAGTTAGTACTAGTGATACATTCATTCATTCATTTTCTTTTTGGCTTAGTCCCTTTATTAATCCAGGGTTGCCACAGCGAAATGAACCACCAACTTATCCAGCATGTTTTTACGCAGCGGATGCCCTTCCAGCCGCAACCCATCTCTGGAAAACATCCACACACACTCATTCACACTCATACACTATGGATAATTTAGCCCACCCAATTCAACTGTACAGTATGTCTTTGGAATGTGGGGGAAATCGAAGCACCCGGAGGAAACCCACACGAACGCAGGGAGAACATGCAAACTCCACACAAAAACGCCAACTGACTCATTCGACGTTTGAAGCCTTTATTTACAATATTATTAGGACTGAACAATATAGCATCAATATCACAATGTGTGT